AGTTGGAGGGAGTTGTGTCACGATTAAGTGCATCCACCTTTGAAGACTGACATCATGGAACAAAATGATTCCGTATGCCGCATTTGGCGCAAATTCGGCTCCACGCCGGACATTGATCGTTATCTTTCGGGTGTCGCGCGGCGCCGAATGTGCAACTATCGTGTGTTTTGATAACAGACTTTGCAGACTTTGTCAGATAAACTGGATACTACACATAGCTACGCTTCAGTCGGCAACCACATTTGCTGGATAGAGTGTGCAGCTGATGATGGATGGTGGCACATAACAAGACATTGTCTGAGTAATAACTGCCGGTGCCGCAACAGCCGCTAGGGGATATTTTTATCTTTGATCCCCAGCACAATTCTACCTCGGATGAGACTGTCGGCCATACACAATTGCAACAATTCCAGGAAATAGCCAGAATCTTCAGCTCCGTAACGTAGTTCTCCATTGTTTCTTTTGGGCACCGGTCTCAGGTAAAAAAGAGATATAGCTGATACGTCTCGTTTGTCCGGCCATCGCAAAAATCAGAATTTTCGGACCACATTTTCCAGATCAGCTTGGTCCTAGTTTTTTCTTACTGTATCCTTTCCGAGACCCGGAGGGCTTCATCTCCGATAGTATGTCTAAAACTCGCTAATCGAAACGCCATTGGTTGTTCATTCAGCCGCACTAGTACACGGAAATCGACTAGCTTGATTTTCCAGAGTTTCCAATCATTAGCGAAATCCCGTCTTTCCACCTTTAGTGGGGCAAGGGGTTGCACAGTTGGTTGCGCTCCGAACAGCAAGTTAGCACCATTGGGTGATCTTGACTTGGTTTTCTCTGAAACCATGTCGCGGTACTCGGTCCCGTAGGAACAAACGGTTTATTCGACAAAGCAAGCTCAACGAAATAACAGCTTGACAAGTTGGTAGGAAACTTGGTATAAATAACTAAGTCATTTCCAAAATTAACGACGCTGCTGCACTTATGAGATTCTTCCTATGAAGTGGTTAAACAAACCCGCTCCGGCGAACCGAGCAGCGCGTAGACGAAATATGCGCAGGCATCCAAGCAAGTGCTCTATTCAGTTGCGGCAAGCTAACGGCTTGGTTACACAATCCTAGCACATATAGAGCAGCATTTCTAAGTACAGACAAGGAAAATAATACTGCAGCAGTGACTCAATGTTAATGGTGAACATCGTCTTATGTGTGCCTGTTTTTATTAAATTTGTTAGTTTATACTAGGACAGCGGTAATTCTTCTGATAACAGAGATATCACGACTTTCGCTGCGAGGACGAAAACTTGGACCTATAGGCGTTTTTACAAAGTTTCAAGGTGAGTTAATAATGCGCTTTATTACACGTACGATGAGTGTAGTTTTAGCGTTAAACTCTAGTCTAAATACGGTCGATTTACAGGAAGTGCTTCAGTTTTCCATTGCTGGTTATTAAAAGTAAACGGTAAATCATGTTGTTATTGGCTGGTCATTTAGGTAGCTAAGACCTTAGCTCATCTAAATGCAATAACCGACAACGTTTCAAGCCTCCACCTGAGAGAAGCACACGTGTCGATGTCTGTAACATGATGAACCAATTGGGGTTAAGTAAGGAGGGATTTAGCCAACTATGGTGCCGAATGTGGCGAAATAGTACAAGGGAACGTTGTTCCCTCACGCTCCGTGGATTAAAGTGGCCCTCGTTCACCAACGCGATCGAGCGTCCGAGTAGGATTTTCACACTTGGTCAGTGCATTAAGTACCTTCATGTCTTCTTGACTACAGTGGTCATTGTTGTAGTTGATTGCTCTTCGGTTCCCTCATTAAGTGAACCTTGTCTGCCACTATGATACTGTTGAAGTCAAATCAGCATATATTCTACGCAATGTGAACAACAACAGTATGGTGTTTCGAAAACAGATCAGTGTTGTTGGCTATCGTTTGGGCAGTCCGATTTAGCTAACTGGCCTCTTGTTTTAGGTGGAAACATAAAAGTTCCGCAAGTTCGATAAAATTATGAATATAACCCGAAATCGTCTATTTTTAGGAGCTTGTGGCACGAACAGCTAGCAAAAGCTATTAGGTTGATCATGTGAGTTTACGCAGACCAGAAAGCAGCCAAATGAAAACTAGTGAGATTCAAGTTCGAGAAGGAGATTTATATACGCTTCATGCTAAGTAAATCAGTTCATACCAGCGAATATAACCACATAGTACAAATCCTTTAGGCGCAAGCTAAAAATTATCCTTTTGGAGGAATGGTTATATATGGTTGGCGGCATCCGGTTTCGGATTTGCCTGTCACTGTGGCAAGCCACAGGACGCCTGCGCCTACAGAGGGACCATGGATGGCTTGCGCTGCACCACCCACAGCTCCAACCACATACCCCATATCCAGTGTAAACCCGAAGGAATAAGACCGGGAGGCACGCGGATGGGAACCACGTTTCATCAACGGAGCCGGCCCACACTCCTTCACAGGCAAACACAAGCACGCTGTATTTGGGGAATCAAGCGCACACAAGGCGGTGGCTGAATTGTAGTCCGCTCCACACTGAGTGCATGGAACCGCTCTTCGAGCCTAGCACGTCCACAAGAACCGTGCACCCCGTCCCCTCCAGCAACGACCAACTGTCTCCTGGAGCCAGTATGAACAATGTAGTGGGTAATAGACAGGTAAGCACCTTGTCAACATACACATCAAGCGCAACCATACCAGGGATATCAAACAACAGCCATTCAATTTAAGCGACAAGCTGAAATAAAATAAATCGAATAATGCATACAGATACGGTGGCATAACTCTTCGCTAAATTACCATATGAAGTAAGTTGGTCAGCAACAAATCCGTGATAAGTAAGAAATGTCCACAAGTTACTTAAAATGCTACAAACGTAACAAAATTACCGAAGGTAAGCGCAATTAGTGTAAGCAACGTGGCCAGTTAATAGAACATTACGCAGGGAGGCAGAACAAACCAAATAAAGCGGAATGAAATTTATCCAGCTTAAAAAGACCTAGTTTAAGTGTAAGTTGGTTTAGCCCAACTAAGGTTAAGAAGCATCAAGAATGCAACATCAGCCTCAGCATGGGGCACACATACATACATGGTTGGCGGCATCCGGTTTCGGATTTGCCTGTCACTGTGGCAAGCCACAGGACGCCTGCGCCTACAGAGGGACCAGGGATGGCTTGCGCTGCACCACCCACAGCTCCAACCACACACCCCATATCCAGTGTAAACCCGAAGGAATAAGGCCGGGAGGCATGCGGATGGGAACCACGTTTCATCAACGGAGCCGGCCCACACTCCTTCACAGGCAAACACAAGCACGCTGTATTTGGGGAATCAAGCGCACACAAGGCGGTGGCTGAATTGTAGTCCGCTCCACACTGAGTACATGGAACCACTCTTCGAGCCTAACACGGCCACAAGGACCGTGCACCCCGTCGCCTGCAGCAACGACCAACTGTCTCCTGAAGCCAGTATGGACGAGGTAGTGGGTAATAGACAGGTAGGCGTCTTGTCAACATGCACATCAAGCGCAGCCACACCGGGGATATCAAACAACAGCCATACACATGAGCGCGTGAGAAAGAAAAAGAGAAAAGCTCGATTAATGCATAAGGAAACGGTGACATAAACCTTAATTAAATAGCATATGTAATAAGTTGTTTACAAACAAATCCTAGCTAAGTGCACGAGGTCAGGAAGTATAGTTCACAGAATGCCACGAACACAAAAATGTTATGGAAATCGAATACAATTGGCTGAAGCGATGTGTGCAAGTTAATGGAATAGAGTACAGGGAGATATTTATATGAGAAAGAAAAGCATTAGGCACAAACTGTAAACCCACCACCTGAAATAAAGAGACTTAGCATGCAAGCACGCGGTTAGTAAATCGAAATCAGCGTGCCTACAAACGCTGCGCCGGCTCGTCGTAATTCTCTGCAGGACCCGTCGTCGCTTCTGTAGTGGCCCCAAATGGCACAGCGCATGGCCCACTAGACATTTATATGAGAAAGAAAGCATTAAGAGAGAACCGAAAACCCACCACCTGAAATAAAGAGACTTAGCATGCAAGCATGCGTTTAGTAAATCGAATTCAGCGTGCCTACAAACGCTGCGCCAGTGCTGCCTACGTTCACTGCGGGACCCGTCGGCGCTTCGGCATTAGTCCCGAGTGACCTCTCTCATGGCTCACTAGGCCTGCCTGACCAAGGCAATCGCGACCGCATGTTCTACAGCACAATGCGCTCGATGTCGATGGAGTACAATTCCTCGGTGCTTGCCGCTTCCACGCCTGCCGCTTCTTCTCTGCATGCATGAGGGATTTCTCCCGCACTTCAGCAACTGCCTTCGAGATTAGATCGCGCCATGCACGCCGATCAACCGCCTTCGATTCCCATGATCTGCAATCAAGATTAGAACGTG